CCCCCCCCCCCCCCCCCACACACTCAGCACTCACGGGCCATCACCCTCCCTCCCTCTCTGCGTGTCGTGTGCAGGTGGGTAAAGGACGGCGACATGCCGTCCAAGCTGTGTCACTGGGGTCCCGATTGGAACGGCCCGCGGTATCTGGAGGGCCGCGACAGGGAGAGGGACAGGGCGGCCTTCCAGCTCTACCCCGACAACTACCACGGCCGGGCCCCTCGCACGCAGTACTTCGCTGCGCCCAGCACCGAGTGGAACCCACACCTCATCAGCCAACTCAAGGTGAGACAGACGAGAGAGAAGGGGCAAACACTCACACCCACACCCACACACATAACGTTGATCTGTTTGTTCCTCATGTGGCCTTGTCTGTCTGTTGCCAGGCTGAGTACCCGTCACTGTGTGCCCCCGAGAGCGCCTTCAGCCAGCTGGACGAGGCGGGCTCGCGTCTGCGGGAGCCCAAGGTGATCCTCATCAACTCGCAGGAGCCGCACTTCGGCAACTTCGGCGCCATGAACATCTACAACCTCCTCAACCAGGGCCAGAACCCCTACTTTGGCAGCCCCTTCGGGATGGGCAGCCCCGTCTTCCTCCAGTCATTCCAGCCCTACCACTCGTCAATGGCCGCCGCGGCCGCGCCCTCGTTCCGCAGCGGCGAGTCGGCGCGCATTGAGAGCGCCGACGACAGCGACACGGAGGGAGGGGGCGAGTACACCCTGCCCATTGGCCGCAGCAACAAGTTCCTGGACGCACTGGAGGCCATCGACAAGGAGGGCGGGGGCGGGGGGTCGCCCACAGGGGTGGAGGGCGACAAGGAGGACAGCCCCACCTCGGTTCCAAGCCGCACGCCGCCCCCAGAAGCCTCGCCGTCATCCCCCCCGGCAGAGCAGGAGCCTGCGACTGGCAGCGGCACCAGCAAGTCCAAGAACCACCATAGGAAGCGGCCCAAGAGGGAGCTGCCACGGATCCCGCCCCGCATCACCAGCCAGCTGACGACGCTCAGCCGGCGGCGCGTCAAGGAGGAGCGGGAGGCCAGGCAGCGTCAGCTCGAGCAGGAGCAGCAGCAGCAGGAGGCTGTGATGGCCTCACAGGAGGTGTCTGTATCGGTGTCGAGATCAGAGGCCGCTGAGGCCGATGAGGCCGCCGAGGGCGACCAGGCTGCTGCTGCTCCGTCTGCTTCTGCGTCGCCACCGTGCGAGCGAGAGGAGGCGACATCCACCCCCACCCCGAACCACACCAGCAATGAGCCTGTGGCAGCGCCGGTCAGCCAAGAAGAAGAACCAGAGCAACAACCATCAGAAGAGCCGTCGTCACCCGCCCCCCCTCCCGCCTCCGACTCTCAGCCAGCAGAGGCACCCCCCTGCCGCTCCCAAGAGCCCCCATGCCCCATTCCCCCTTCAAGCGTCGACGCGGCCGCTCCGGAGGCTCCCGCAAGAACAAAGGACGGCGGGAGAGCGGCACCAGATGCCGAGGGCGAGGGAGACATTGACAATGTGGCTGATGTGGCTGACGCCGACACGGACTATGCGACCGAGACGGCGTCTGGCGACAAGGGCGTGGCGGGCAGCAACAAGGGTGTGCGTGTGGAGAGGGTTAATGGCATGTCGGGGAGTGAGAGTGACGACCTGGTCGATAGGGACGGCGACGGGCGGGAGAGCGAGAAGTCGCCGCAGCTGTCCGAGGACCTGGTGGACCTTCCATCGCCCATCCACCAGCAGCCAAAGACGTCTCCCCCTCCCCCTCCCCCTCCCCACCCTCATCTCCCTCCCACCATCTCCTCCCTGTGTCATGACGACACACGCTCCGCCCCCCCGCCCCTCGATGACCTCCCTGACAACACCGATGGCCCCAGCGATGCCGACATCATCGCACCATGGCAAACAGCCGGGGAGGTCGAGGGAGAGGGTGAGGGGCAGGAGGACGACCAGGAGGATACGTCTCCCTCGTCAGCGGCCGACAACACCATGGCCTTGGTCGGTGTGGACAGCGCCACTGTGAGTGACGACCGGATGTCGCCTGCGAGCACCACGCCCTCGGCGGCCGTGGGCAACGGTGTTGGTGGTGTGGGTATGGGTATGGGCGGCAAGGAGCCGCGGCGCAAGTGGTGGGAGCTCATGGAGGAGGAGGAGGAGGACGAAGACTTCTGAGCTGCTAGCTGGCATGGCGATGCCGTGCCGGGCGGGCAGACAGACAGACAGACAGACAGGCGGGAGAGCCTTTCCTTTGTGTGTGCTGACCGACCGCTCTGTTTGGTCTTTTGAAAGCAGGTGTGTATGTGTGAGGTGGGCGAGTTGTTTTGTTGGCTGGCTGGTTTGGTTTGGTGTGCGTCTGTGTGTGTGAGTGTGAGTGTGCTCATCGGAGGTTGCTCGCCGACTTGGCGACACGGAGGATATGCGTATCTATCGGTCTATCGAGATCTCTCTATATGTCTGTTCTGTCGGCCGGCCGAGACCCTCACCCTCTTCTTTTTCTCTTTCGAGGAGGCGCGCGCGGCTCGATAGAAACCAGACAGGCAGACAGACGGTGGATGAGAGAGAGAGAGAGAGAGAGAGTTTCTGCGTGTCTGTGGGGTTGAGAATGGAGATGGGGTATTCAGCCAGACCACCGGCAGGCAGCACCGATCGGCCCCACGACCCTCCCCCCCTCCCTCTAGCTGCCGTCTCCTCTTTTTAACAACTACTAGCACTTCCTGCGCCGGCTGGCGGGAGGGTGGGAGAGCTGGAGGGCTGGAGGGCTGCATGAGTGTCCGGTGGTCAGCAAGCTGCAATGATAGTTCCGTTGCACTTATGGATGGATGGATGGAGGGAGGGATCGAGGGGTGGAGAGAGACGAGACGAGAGATGCAAGTTTTCGTAGGTGCGTGAGGGGGGGAGGGAGGGAGGGCATGTCTTTCTTCTTCTTTGCTCAGATCGCGAGGGAACGGACTCACTCACTCACTCATATGCGGCTCACTGCATGCGGTCTATAGTGGGATATATATATGTGTGTGTGTGTGTGTGTGTCTGTGTGTGTGTATGTGCTTGTGGTGGGAGGGGAACCCATTTGAGGGCAGGGGAGGGGGGCAGCAAGGCAGACAGAGAATAGATACCTGGCTGACTGACTTATCCATCCTTCTACACAGATACACACACACAGACTCAGACACAGACACACAGACGGAATGGTCAGCTCAGCAAATGGGATCGGGTGGGATTGGGGCGGGCTTGGGTGGTGCGGGGTGGGGTGGGCTGGGGTGGGTACACTTTTTCCTTCCTGCCGTCCTTCTTTGTCGCCCTCCGTCCGCCCGGCCCTTGTCTGCCTTTTTTGCGGAGGAAGGAGCCTTTTCCGTTGTCTGTCTGTGTATGTATCTCTTCCATCCATGTGTCAGTCAATCAATCAATGATCATCGCGGCCGACACCCCGGCCGGCCGGCTGATTGCGTGTCACACAACAGGGACAGAGAGAGAGGAGAGGAGAGGAGAGGGAGGCATTGCATGGCCTTCTGTTGGTATTGGTATAAACAGGCTGCAGCCGATTATATGACCCACACCGGTTTTCACTGTTTTTCCGAGAGAGCGACACACACTGGTCCCAGTAAGGGAGAGGGAGGGAGGGGAAGGGGGGAGGGGGGGGGGCATTTCGTCACCCTTTTTTGCCTATCTACCGATTGAGGAGGGCTCAGTGGCAACGCGACACACACCCATCCCATCCCCCCACCGATGCGCACATCCCATTCCATCTCTTCTCCTCCGCTCCCCTTTTGTACCGACCTCCGCTGGCCATCGAGATGGTGTGGTGGATGGGCGGGGGGTCACATATAGAGAGGGGTGGTGGGTGCGTACCTGTGTGTGGATGGATGGATGGATGGACGGCACAAACAACGGTCGATTTGTCCTGAGCACACCACACCACACCAGACAGACAGACAGACAGGTCGGTTGGCACTGTTCTTAGTGGTGCGTTCGCTCGGATGACTCACTCAGTCACTCACTCACTGGTGCTGATTGTTTCAAAGGCACACACAGACGGACTGCGTGAGGGAGGGAGGGAGGGAGGCCACCCACTACTTGTTGCACTGATCTGGTGGGTCTATCCATTGGCTGACTGACTGCCTGCCTGCCTGTCTCCCTGGTGTGTGTGGATGTCAGTGGCGTAGGTTGTGTGTGTGTGTGTGTGCCTGCCGTCTTGTTCGTGCGTCCCGTCCCGTCTTCCTGCCCGTCGGTGAGTGAGTGACTTGCTGCTGTCGGACTGATTGAATGACAAATTCTACCACTTCGCGAGCAATCTCGTTTTCAGTATGTGAAACCAAAGTAAAGTCCCTCGATGAAACTTCCCTCCACCCGGTGTGTGTGGTCCCACTCACTCAGCCACCCCCGCAGCACCCCACACATGAATCAACACACATCACTCGTCGTGGTGACAGGTACATTGCCTGCCACAGCGACTCGTCCGTGTGTCGTCCTTTGCGCATCAATTGCACTCTGTGTTCAGCCCTATTGCTCCCTGCTCCCTGTGTTGCGTGAACCTCATCACGACCCCCCACACAGGACAGCACGGATCGACCGACCCCATGTATGTACGTCCGTGTGTGTGTGTGTGCGCACACAAAAACTAGCTCACACGGAAATCTACTGACGGTGCACAAAAAAACCTACTCAGACGCAAAAACAATCTAACACGCACAGACAAACAGAGAGGACCGAAACGAAAAATACAGACGGCTGCAGGGCAGGTCAGAGAGCAGAACAAACAACAAATACACTGGAGTGATTGATGACGACACACGCACACCTCCGCCCGACTGTCGGTCTGTCTGTCTATCTCACACGATATCACACGATGTGTCAGGAATCACGAAACATACAGATGTGAACATCCGCATCACATTGATTACATACCCTTCCAGCTCCCATAGCAGCTCTCACAGAGGCTCAGAAAGGCAACAAATTGACACAAAAAGCCCCCCTGTCTACGGCTAATTAAAAGCATATCCCAGGATTCATTTCACAGCACCCGTCAACGATGTCCCCATCATAAAGCGGACACCTCCGCCCTTCTTCTAAAACTGCCTTTTTGCAGAAGCACTTCCGCAATGTCTTGCGCTCGTCGTAGCATCTGTCAAAGCAGGGGCCATTCGGGATAGGGCGAACCGTATACGGCTCAACGCACTTCCCGTCCGTGACCCTGCTGCAGATCTGAGCACACGCCCACTCCCACGCTTTGACGATCCTCTCCCTGCAGCACTCGCTGTCCGAAGGGCAGACATCGTCAGGCGGAGTAGGAGTAGGATCAGGGTCATCGTACATGAGGCAGGGCTCGCTCCAGACGCAGTTGAATCTGCATGCCACCGGATCGGGAGCATTGTCGCAGTTGGAGTAATCCGGTTCCTCCCCGCAGCAGGGGTCGAGTTGCTCGCCACGGAGGGATGGGGATGCACGGTTACCTGACGAAGGACGCAGCACAGGGAGAGAGATGAAGTGCCGTCGTTCGTCCCCTCCCTTAGCACTTACCAGCCTCTGTGGCGGTGGCCTTGGCCTGTGCATCCTCGGGACAGGCGGCGGCCATCGTGACCAGCAGCAGCACGCCGATGAGGCACAGGAGCTTCATCGTCTTCAACAAAGGAAATCAATCGAGTGATTGGAGAATCCGTACGCTACTCCGTTGCCATTGGGACCCCTGGGAAGCCGTTACGGCTGGGACACGGCCAGACAATTTACAGGTTTCGCTAGGGTTTCGCGAACGGAGCTCGGAAAGGAGGAATACTGTCAGGACTGCCAGCTTGACAAGACGAACCACTGCGAGCTTGTGAGCTAGGGTATATTGCTGTGTAACGGGTGGAGAGAGGAGAAGACAAGGAAAGACAAGGAAAGCATTCTGAGGAGACACGATCTTATCAGCCATCACCGAAGTGAGATCTGTGTTGACCACCCTTCATGATGCC